AGTATAAAACTTTAAACTCCTTGAAGTGCGACTATAAATATTTTTATACACGTCCCTTAATTATAAAGGATTCTTATTACAAGCAGTTAGTGTTTGATTTCAATTTTAAATAGAAATGCTGTTATAACAAATTTCGGTTAGATCCTTTGAAAAACTAAATAATTTATCTTGTCATAACTAATCTGTTATTTCTCAAGAAAACTTTAAATGCATGGTGTCAAAAACAACAACATACTTTTTTTTCTTAGTCATTATCACTTTCAATTTATTGCTGACCTTCATTTCTAATCCCCTATTTTGTTATTCCTTTCTAAATAAGTTTGTTACATATTTATTTTACAGTCAATTTCGGAATAATACCACACAAATAGGAAAAATAACAACTTCGTCGTGTTTTTTTTTTAAACTTGGACCATTATTGTCTTCTTGAAAGATAGTAATTATCCTGGAAAGTCAAATTTTCAATATAATGGTATTTCAACTTGAAAATTTCTAATTTGATGTATCTTGAATCCATTTGTTGTTACAGTTATCATATTGTACCAGGTTTATCCGGCCATTACTGCCTAGTGCTCTTTGTTTTTAGTTTAGGAAGTCTCTTCATAGTGGTTTCAATTTACCCCTTATAATGAAAGTTTTTAATTTTTTACGGTTTAGCTATCATTTCAACAATGCCTCCAACTATTATTTAACAATGCTTTTTCATCTATTCATTCTTTCGTTTATATATTTTTTGCAATATCGCCAATCTAGTATTTGCTAAATTCTTTTCATATAATATATATTTAGTGTATTTTCTTTATTCGTTCAGTATTCAGTTGCTAAAGAAGTTGTTACAATTTTTTACAATTTCACATGATCTTTTCCTGGTCCCAATCTACTCCTTGATGTTATTTTCATCCTCAATTTTTTTTATTTTGTTATGTTTTTATGTAATAAGCCAATCTTTCCGTGTTTCTGTAAAGGTTTAAAGTCATATAATTGCCAAAGTGTGTTTTACAAAACAGCCTATAAAATTTTGGCCCTTTTTCGTTTAATAATGTTCATTTTTGTTTCATTTTAATAATATCCGAATTTGTATATTTGTATATTTTCTGCATTTTTTTAATCGAGAGTCTTTCTCTATTGAGTCTGGTGGAATTTTTTAATTTGTTGGCTTGACCAACATTTTTTAATAACAGTAGTTTTTGCATTTTCTTCTAAAACATGATTTTATTTTCTTCATATGATTATCTTGTCTCCTTTATCATATTTCTTCCTGATATCCGTTAATGCTCATTGTATTTTTAATTTGATACTCATCACAGTCATGAAAAACATGTTTCAAAGATTATGATCACTTGGTCTTTGTGTTTTCTCTTTTCTGTTTTTTAATTTTAGCTTTAGTTGTATGGTCCCTTTTATCTGAATATTTTTTCACTTATTTCAATTCCGTTAATTTATCAATTGCGTGGTTCTACTTTTTCAATTCCCACTTTTTTTTATATGCAAAACAAGAATCCTTTACATATAATATATTCTGTTGTAAAATGGTTTTGATATATGCTCGTGTCCAACCAGTCCATTTGAAAATTTCGATAATTCATAAAATTACTATTTTGCAATGGATATTGGGTAATTAAATGCCTTTATCTTTGAGTGTGCTAGAGTTTCATCAGGTAGTATATCTTCGGAGTCGGAGTCTACTTTTGTTTTATGTTCCCTAGTTATCTAAACCTAAACCACTTGTAGTTCAAGAGTAGTAGTTGTACAAAGTGGTTCAATAGTTCCATAGTGGGATTTTTCATCTAAATGTTTCAAAACCTTTTTTTATTTGTAACTGAAGCGAAATAATCTCTAATCATACATTTCTGATTGTTTTTCTCTGGACTCAGTTGATTTTTTTAAACAAATATACCATTACTCTATTTTCCCTACACATTCCAATGTTTTATTTTGATAAAGCAAATTTTTTTCTTCAAATTTTTGTGGAAAGATACTTGTTTTTTGAAAATTGTAGAAATTTTTGAGAAGTTGGTCAATTTCTGTGTCAGTCCTATATTATTTGATCGATTTTCACTTCATTTTTATTTTTTTTTCCTTTGAACTATCGTAAATTCTGAATACATATATTTTTATATATAAAAAAAGGTTAAGTCCTTTGTTTCTACATCAATCTTTTGTCTTTGTCTAAAAATGAACCTATTTGTTTTTAAGATTTTGACCTGAATGGCTTAATTAAGAAGTCTTCCAACCAACTGAGTGCACTTTATACTTCGGATTTTTCAATCTAGATCGAAAAATAATCGTAGTTTATAATTTGGTCCATTGAACTTTTGTAAATGATTTATTGACATCCTAACCTTTAATTTGGTTTTATACTTCTCATTTGTATCACATCATTTCATTTTGTTTTATATACTAAAAATTCGATAGGAAACAATGTTGTTGACTATACTTAAAGAGTAAACTTTCCATTTGTGTGTTTATATGAAGAATTTTCATTCCGTAGACCTAATCAAATACAAAGCTCAATCATTTCATTTTTTGCTTGTATTCTATTCACAGCCAAGAAAAATGGTGCTTAAAATTACACATGAACAGATCCTAAAAATCGCATACTACAGAGGAGGTATGACTTATCTCGCTCTCTTTAATGCCTATTTCTTCTTAGTAGTTCAGGCGAGACACCCCCATTAAATAAACTCCCAATAAGTTCTGTAGCCTCAACAAAGGCCAACGGTCTCATCAGTTTTTTAAGGATTTCTTCTGGTTCATTCTTCACTTCACAAGGGAATTCCTGCCTTATAACACTTAGCACCTTTCTGAATGGCATAGGACGTCTATGACATTCCCTTGTGTAGGTGTTTTCTTAGGTTATTTAGGTTAGATTCAAAATGACTGTGTTCCTAAACACACTTTGACTAGACAAAGAGGTCTATTGTAGCCCATCCCTAGGTTAAGTTCTTTTAGCCTATCCTTTTTAACAAAGTTTAACGAAATCTGGTCTGGTCTGGTTGATAATACTCAAATGCATCAAGCCTTTTTCTGTCCAACCCTGTCTCCACGGTCTCATCATCAGGCTGTCAGAATCTGCAATTTGCACTTTCAACAGTCCGATTTGGTTCATTTGCATCTTAATGCGACTGTGTCCTGTTAGGAGATATACGATAATTCAGATTATTCAAATTCATATCTAGTAGATATTTGGATGTCTTTGTCGAATGTTCGTGTTTTGATGGTCACCATTTCGATGACCGTTTTAATTTCTCGTTTATTGAGGTTCATTAAATTGCCCGAGAGTTTATAAATATGCTCCTTCCGGTCAATGATTATAAAGTCGAAAACATTACCAAAAATTTCATGCTTTTTTCTTGAAAGTGAATATATTATAGATTGTTTTGTTTCTGACAAATGTAAGGTAAAGAAGTTAAAATTTTCACAAAAACAGAAAAAGTATTTTAATGTTATTGTCATTCGAAACTGCTGTACTATATCTGATAATCTTGTTAATGCTCTATACTATATAATATGTATTTAAATGAAGTTGTATTCATAATTAGAAGGCCAGCCATTACAAAATAATATTTAGACAAGTGTCTGCATGTTTTTGAAAATGTTTGTATTATAAATTTTCTCGTCAAAAAGTCGTTAATTAAAAAAAGTTAATGTTATTGAAAGATAGTTTGCAAAACCTACACAGAAAAAATTATTTAAGTGCGTGTTTTTATTTTGAAAAATTCTGATAGCACTGTAAATATTTATATGTTCAATGCTTTATTTTTCTTTTATTCCACTCATTTTTATTTTATGTTTATAGTCTTAAGCACTGAAATTATAATATACACGTTTTCATAACTTAATTTATTAAATATAGTAGTTGTAGTATGTTAGCGATGAAAAACTTCAAAATGGATTTAAACTGCTGATATAAGATTTTTTTTAGTCATTTTAATTACCGTATTTGAATGCCATCAGTTTGAATCCCATCGAAACTGGGGTATTTTTTTTTACTTTTGTTGGCAGCCGTAGCTTAGTGGCTATGTTACTGGCTTAACAAGCTGGAGGGCCAGGGTTCAAATCCCGGCACCGACAAAAATTTAAAAATTTCTAATTTAACTGAGCTGCCACCGTGCTTCGGAGGGCACGTTAAGCCGTCGGTCCTGGCTACAAAAGTAGTCGTTAAGTCATGTTAATCAAAGAAAAATTTTTCTCTATTTCTTAGAATCACTTCCTTTTTTATACCAGTATATTTTTAGTTTTGCTCGATAAAAGAATTATTTTACATTGGCAGTATTTGGATATTAATTGGTCGCGTACCGATTGCGCGGTATTCAAATCTTTATAACTCGGGCAATATTGCTTGAATTTACTTCCAATTTGGTGTCAATACTCTTGAAGTACTATACTTTCATATGGAATAAAAAAAAATAATTCGATTTTTGAAAATACAAAACCTCTGCAACCCCTTAAAGGAAATAAAAAACCAAGACATCTCAGCAAAGCCATCTCAGCAAAGCAATCGGATTAACAAAAATGACAATGAAAGCATCTTGGGCAACAATAATAGCAGAAGGCACCACAAACACAATCGAAATGAAAAATGAATAAGAAAAAGGAACAAATGTAAGCCAGAAACAGAAAAGTTAAGATGAAGAGCTTAAGAGAGATGGGAGAGCTAGGTTATTAGAGATATTAAAATAACAAAAGTGCTATCATAAGAGATCATTATGTAAAAATAGAAAATTATTAATAAAGCCGAATAACATGACAACCAGTGAAAAGAAGGATTCACCTCAATAAACGAATCAAAAGAGCTCGAAAAACAGTGCGGCAATCATTCCACCAGAAATGAAAATCTTGATGATGACCTTCCATGTATATTCAGACACTTTTTTTATATCAGCATCAAGTTTTCTTTAATAGTTAATTATCCATTTTGAAGGTTTTTTGATCAGTAGGTTAATTATCAACATTGTTCAATAATTGCTCTACAATAATTGTTTCTTTTTTTTTTGCAGAATTTGGGAGATCCGAGTGTTTTACAACAATTACAGCAACTGCAAAGGCTTATTTCGAAAAATGTGGAAAATTCAGTGCGGTCTGAACCAGTTCATTTCGATAAGAAACTGCTCGATTTTGATTATGGCGATGATGACGATGATGTACATCCATCTCCTAGACCGCAACAACCCAGCGCCGAATCATTTTTACCAGTTACAAGGTAAATAAATAGTTGTTTATTCGTGTATCATTTGGAAATTATAAACATTTTTAGATGACATTTTCTCAATGAAGCTTCGCACTAGTGTACACTACTGCCTATTGTACCAGTTTTTTTATTCCAAAAATTGTTTTAGGGTTATTAATTTCTGTTTTTTAATTCTAGTCTTTTGACGAATCCTGAGGTGTTGAGACAACTCCAGACACTACAGCAAACAATGGCTAATGCTGTACAACCGCAAGAAGTTGATATGGATAGGGCGAGAAAAATGCAAGAAATGAAACAACAGGAAGAGGAGTTTGATAAACATCTTGCCCAAACTGTACCTGTAAGTTGCTATTTTTTATTTGTACTGAAATTAGTAGTTCTCTCATTAGAGATATTTTGTAAAAATTAAATATTGTTTATATTCAATTTTAAACTTGAAATTTCAGAATCTACCGTTTGCGGCCGAATGCGACTTCCGTAGCACCACAAATCATTTGTTGCTACAGAACAATTACTTCCTTGAAGGTATGAACCCTCCAGCTCCTTCACAATACCACTCAGACTTTGAACAGCCTCAAGTCAAGGAACGGTAGACAAATCACACCAACCATCCAATGCCGAGGTAGAGGTCATTACTCTGGATCACGATGATTCCCGTTCGCCTTCACCCGCTGAAGACAGATACAGGAAAAGGCGAAGAAGTCGTTCTAGATCGAGGGACAGAGGGAGACGAGAGAGGAGACGATCGCGTTCTAGGTCTGGGTCAAGAAGGCATAGATCGCGATCGAGAGACAAGGACAGGAAGAAGGAGAAGGAAAAGACTAAGGAGGATAAAGAAAAGGAGACCGAGAAGGAAAGGGAAAGAAAGAAGAGGGGTCTGCCTTCTATCAAGAAAGATCATCTCAGTGGTAAGTAGGAATTTGTATTTATATGTAGGGAATTTTATAATTCCCATATATAACTTTTCTTTTTGAATAGTTTGCAGTACAACCCTCTGGGTAGGACATCTATCAAAACTGGTACACCAAGACGATTTATCCAACACGTTTGGAGAATTCGGCGATGTAGTGAGTATTGATTTAATCCCGCCAAGAGGATGTGCTTTCATTGTCATGTTAAGAAGACAAGATGCAGCTCGATGCTTAACCAAATTAAAAGGGCATAATTTGCACGGAAAATCCATTACGGTAAGAATGTTACTTTATTAATATTAAATAATCTATTCATTGTTTGTTAATTTGGATCAAAGCTTTCAATTTCCTCTTACATGTTCTGCAATGTGATGTCATTGGTCCTTCGAGCCGAAACATATTTTAACATTAAGTATTACAACTATTTTTTTATCAACTTTGCCAATAAGATGAAAAATTCGTGAAAAGATCTTTTACTAAGTGTAATTATTTACTTTACATTTATACATTTATAGGGGGACTCTCTCTGTCGCATTTGATTTTATTTTTACATATTGTCTCGTTTTGTAATCATCACTTCTTCTCACTTGTAAATCTCTTTATTTGTACTATGTTTTATGTTTATTTATTTATTTCTCCACTTGCACTTCTTTCTCTACGCGTTTGGATATTTGTTTCTAATGCCTTTTCGAAACTCATCCATTAATTTCTTAAATCTATATTATTTTGTATCTATTTTATATGTATTTTCATTCACCTTAAATCGCTAATAAATTTTATTTATCTATAGCTGGCTTGGGCTCCGGGCAAAGGTGTCAAAGGTAAAGACCTAAAAGACTACTGGGAGGGTGACTTGGGCGTTTCCTATGTACCATATTCAAAACTCAAACAAGATATCGATATTGATTTATTGGAAGATGGAGGTATGATCGATGAAGACACGATGCCGCAATGGATGAAAGAAAAAGTAGACAAAGAAAAGAAGCCCGAACTGGACCTTACTGGATTTGTAGGTGGCAGCACTCCTACTATCGACACTAGCCAACCGCCACCCATACCGGGAGCAGGGATCTTGCAGCCGCCCCCGATGATGCCAACATTCAATCCCTTTCAGTTTAATAATAGATTGTTGGGCATGAACGTACCGCCCGGTATGATGCCTAACATGACTAATATGTCTACTATGACCAACATGCCTAACATTCCTATTGGAGTACCACCTCCTAATATGACTGGAGCACCTATGATGGGTAATCAATTGTTGGGACTTGGATCTGCTTTCCAAGGTAATTTAAAATATTTAAATCCAAAATAAATTTAAAGTCTTATTTAAATAAATTATTTCTATATATAGAACATGTTTAAACTTTATTTTATTTTTTATAGGACCTCCAAGCATGATTCCACCGCAGATTCCCCCTGTGGAGAACAAACCACCAACTATACCTTCTGATGCCAATCTCCATTCCTTAGGGGAGACTTTAATGAGTTTGACGCAGTCCTTTGGCGTGGTTCCTCAACCGCCAGCACCGCATGAAGACACCATGGATATCGAAATGGAGGATGCTGATTCCAAACCATTAGACAAACCAGCTGTAAATGAACAGAACTCTAATAAACCAAACAATAGAGACGATGATAGAAGAGATAGCAGAAGAGATGACAGAGATAGGCGGAATAGAAGTAGAGATAGGGGGGATAGAGATAAGTAAGTATGAGATCAATTTTAATCTGATTTTTAGTTCCTTTGATTGTAGATTTAACTTAAATATGTTTCTTATTTACAGTCGCGACCGAGACCGAGATAGAAGCCGTGATCGCCACAGTCGGGACAGAGACAGGGATAGAGACCGCGACAGACGTTACAGAAACGACAGAGACTCTAGCAGAGGTAGGGATAGAGATAGACGAGACGATCGCCGAGATAGAGATAGAGATCGTGGTAACAGGTGGAGCGACAGGGATCGTAGAGATAAAGATCCCGAGAGAGATGACAGACGTGACAGGGAGAAAACCTTAAATGATCGATTAAGAGAGATGGCTGGTATGGGAGGAGGAGGATATGACGATAGAGATAGAAGAGGAGATAGATTTAACCGCGATAGAGACCAAGGATTCAAATATGTGCCTCCAAGAGCTAACAGTAGATCGGACGACGACTTTGGAAGAGATAGAGATGGTAGGCAAAGAGATCGGTTCGATAGAAATGAGAATTCTAGACCGAGAAACGATTCGAACGATAGAAATGAACACAAACGTAACAATGATAAGCCCGTACTTGAAGAAAGAGAGGTCACTAAAGTTGATGAAAAGCAAATTCTCGAGGAGCAAGCCACAAAAGAAAAAGAAACAGCTCGCGGTCAAAATAATGAAGATAATTCACCTTCAGAAGATGAAGTACCACCAGGTACAGAAGATGGCGGCGAAGGATCCGAACGAACATCTGAAAGAATGGGTAAGTTATTTTACTGTTAATTAATTATATACTTTTAACAAGTATATAAAGTGCTCAGCTAGAAATTAAATTTTTTAAAATTTATTTTCCATTCTTTCACTTTTGGTATAGACCTAGAAAACTTGTCCTTTGTCGAAACCTTTGATTTGTGGTGTATATATTACAACACTTTGTTAGTGAGATAAAATTATAGTTATTTTATATATGAATAATTTTCTAGAAGATACGAAAGATATGACAGAAACTGGAGAACATTCAAAAGGATCCCTACGATTTGAAGCTCCATCCTTCAATGCTCCACCGATGTTTGACTTCCCGCCTCCATTTACCGGCCCCCCACCATTTGATGGTCCACCTGGAGTCTTTGATGCCCCACCTATGATGGGTATGTTTGATGAAAGGAGAGGTCCACCGAGAGGTAAATCACACCTTCTTTATAGCAGTATTTTTCTTATCTCTTAGTTTAAAATCCATGTATTTAACTATTAAAATGCCGCCTTACAATTTACATTAAAAAAACTGGTATCTTGAAATTTTCTCTACTTTTAGGATATTTCGAAAGTGGTCCGCCAATGTTTAATGATATGGCGAGAGGTAGGGGTCGAGGAAGAGGTAGAGGTGGGCCTATGATGCCGATGGGTATGAACATGGAAGGTCCTCCAATGATGGAAGGGCCACCTGGAATGATGCCTTTCAACGATCGATTTATGAGAGGTGGTAGAAGAGGAGGAATAAGAGGTCCACCTCCAGGTGATTTCTTTCCTGGCGATGATTTCAGACGAGGTAGAGGACGTGGAAGGGGTCAGTTCTTCAGAGGTAGAGGCAGGGGTAAGTAAATGCTTACGCTCATGCCTCTTAATCGCAAAACCCACTGGCAACACATGAACCTCTTTTTAACATAAATAATTTTCCAGGTGGTTTTAATCCTCGATTCGATGCACCTCCGTTTGATGGCCCGCCGTTTGATGGCCCGCCGTTTGATGGACCGCAGTTTGATGGACCGCAGTTTGATGGACCGCAGTTTGATGGACCGCCGTTTGATGGCCCGCAGTTTGATGGACCGCAGTTTGATAACCCGCCGTTTGAAGGTAGACCCCAATTTGACGGTCCCCCTGGAAGGTTTAGAGGAGGGCCACCTCGACCATGGGGAAGACAAGGCCCTGAGAGAGAAGGCAGAAGAAGTCGATGGGGAAATGAGTCACCACAACCTGAAGAAAGACATGAGTATAATGATGTTCCTCCAGGTGTAGATCCAGGTATGTAGAAAATGTGTGAAACATATCCAGGGTATATCACTACATTTAAAGCAAATCTTGCATACTATACATTACAGCAGTTCTGTTTTTCACATAGTCACAACCCTAACAGATGCATTTAAATGTTCTTTTCATTATTATACAATAAATTACAGATTCCTAATGTACAATAGGTTTGTGCGTTTGAGATGAAAAGGAATAAATAAAATAAAAACGTTCACTACATGTATCACATTTTAATCTGAATCAGACTCAGGAAAACAATCGCTGTTTGGATTAGTAATAACTTGTTGAAAGTAATATTTGTCTGGGAAACTTTCACCCAAACTTCAGCTCAGTCAATCCCATTGGATTAAGACAATGATAAGGGGTGAGGTCAAAGTATTGATACACCACATGAAGCTGTACCTGTATCCTTGTGCTTCTTAGCAATATTGTAAAGGTATCTTTTGGTATATATCCTACACATACACACATTTTTATATATAAGCTACTATAAGCACCAAATACTTTTTAACAAAGCTTCTTGTAACCTACTATGGTAACTTGCATTGCCCATTCGTGTCTTGATGATGTCAGCCATACATAATCTTTTCCAGTAGCAATGGCGGATTCAGATTTGCAGACATCTCAAAGTGTACCTACCCTTCGCTTTTATTCTTTTTGTCTTGCCGGTGTTTAGAAAAAGTGTGTCCCGCATTTATCCATCTTTTGTCTGTAGTAACATTTAAGTGAAGCATTCAGCCTTTTGCCAGGCTATATGGTCATTTAATATCTTCACACACACACACACTTGAACCGCACATACACAAAACAGGGCCGCACGGGCTTCCATGTACACATATACAATTGAAGGTTTCGGTTCAATAAACCGTCAACTCCATTTTTTTTTTATATATATAATTTGTGGAAAATCAATAAAAACTTTTTTTTGCCGAAAAAATACCAATTAAATAGTGGTATTGGAAAATAATTTAATACCAAACTGATAACAAAATATTGTTTTAAGACTTTTTTTTTGTCAAAGTCTTGGTGTTGACTTTTTTGCACCGGACCTCCAAAAAGTACACAAATAAAGCAACATTATTGCGTTTAGCATTTATTTATCATAAAATAAAAAACATAACTTTATTTTTTAACTCAAAGCAACTCTAAAAAACAAGAAAAATAATAGAGACCACAGGAAAAATAACAAATAATGTGATAAAAATAAAAAAAAAATAATTTCTCAGCAAAGAAAATCGATGAACATAATATGAAAACTAGAAATCTTTAGTTTCTTGATTTGTGACTCATATTTGCTCGTAGTACCAGTTATATATTGGTGGTACGTATTTATCTGCCGAATACTAATTTTTGGGGGTTTATTTTAAGTGCAAATGTGTCGTACAGTTTAGTACTTGGCCAAACTAAAACTGCGTTAGGTTTTTGATGATAAATGATGAATATAGCGTGAGACCTGTTGTAATACTACACTGTATTATGTTTTTCCTTCCATATTTGAAAAGCCGATATTTGGGATGGTAAATCTTTTTTTTTTGCTGACTTTTTTAAAAATAGATTTAAAAGTATTCGAAAAATTGATAATTATATCCTGGGTAACGTCTATTACATGAAATTGTTTTGATGTTTTCTTGACTAATTTTCTCCATTCAGAAGGTATACTATTTCTTTTTTTCGTTTTCCTTTTTCAATCAAACCAAAGCAACGGTCGCACGTTTGAAAGCTGTGACTGAGTTCTAGAAACTGATGTATAATTTGCTGAATATTACTATTGAAAGCATTCATCATTGTATGAAAGAACTGCATTATGGTGTGATTTTTGTTTTGGGCAAAATTGTTATCCAAAAATAAATAGAGGGTTGTAACAGGTTTCGGGACAAAGTTTGTTAAATAGTGATGTAAATAACTGACCACTTCGTTACAACCTTTTTGGACAGTGAGCTCATCATACATATAAAAAGTAGCCTCTCTTTTATAAATAAAGATGTATTCTTTAATAAAGATGTATACTACATGACAGTGATGGCTGTATACCTTTTCATTTAACAAAATTAATACCTTTCGTGTCAAAATAAAATAGTTACTTTTTATCCACATTTACAGGAAATTGGGTGATCTTGACCTTCTATTGTGGGCCTTCTAAGGTCGAGTGGAAGGGTGGTGAAGCTGCCATCCATATTAAACCTAACCTAACAATTCTGCCAACATAAGAAATGAAATGACATGTTCAAGGGTTAGACGAAAAGTAACGAGGACTTAAAGTCTGTTGTGTCCACATAATGTGACTTTGTTGATGATTTTTGGAACATTGACTTTTATGGGAACCTGGATGTTCATAACCATGAACAAAATCAGCTTTCCAAAAATTTTACTCTTGTTATGTTATGACGGTACATACATGCCTTAGCATCTATTTCTAGAAACTATTTCTGCTTTGATTTCTTCTTTTCCCTTTCAAGTGAAGATACTTAATCTAATTAAATGATATTCCACCGTTTCCATTTTTCAAAAAACTCGCTTACATTCGGGAATGAATAAAAACTTTAATTTCTTATTTTTATAGTGCAAAATTTTATCTGCGTTTCTATATTCCAGTCTTAAAAATGTACCTAAGTTTCTACGCAAGTTAAAGAAAAATAATCTAAAATGAAAGTACTACGGTTTAGGAAAGTAGTACATCGGTATATTATACACATACCATATATAAATGCTTTGAATAATTTCTATTAAATTTCTTCACCGATTTTGATCGTTTAGGGACAGACTATAAGTCCATATATTAACTTTACTTTCTATTTTCAAGGCTTCGAGTCAAGGAAATGGAATATTAGAGTTAAAGGTAATAATACCACTAAAGTATTCTAATTTATTGTTCGGCTTACTGTCAGTTAATTGATCGAATTAATAGCACCAAGCTTTGCCCAGACACCATTCATATTAGAAATAACATAGTTACCACTAAAATGCTATTTGCTATGTATTTGTTTAATATCATTTGTCTTGACTGTATCATATTTCGCCTAGGAAGTATTTCTTCTTCATCACTATCCTAATGTACTTTTTATTTTGATATCTGTATATGTTCAAATCATTTTCATCATCATCACGCAATAACGTCTTTTAATTTAATCTATTAAATCATTTTTCTTCTTTAAACCTTTTTCTATGTAGACAAACATTTAATTGCTTAGCAGTCGCTTGGTCGGCCTAAGTAGCTCAGAGGTGAGTGTTTCCACCTTACGTGCTGAATGATATGAGTTCGGAAATCATTTTGAAGACAGCTACTCAAATTACCACTAAAGTTACCACAGTTTTTTAAAATGATTCTACAATCGAATGCTCTCCTTCAATATATTCTTCTTCCCTCGCCACACACCGTTCCATTCGTTTCTTTTTCCTTTGGTCAAAGCAATGCTGGAAGTCTTCTTTTGTTAGAGCTTTTAGGAGCTCCGCCGTTTTTCGCTTCACCCCTTTCATAGACTCAAAGCGGATTCCTTTTAAGGCAGACTTGATCTTCTGAAACAGGAAAAAGTCACAGGGTGCTAAATCAGGCGAGTACGGCGGGTGTTATGTTCAGTGTGAGCACTGAAATGCCTCTATCGGTTAAATAACGCTTCACAGACAGCGCGTTATGGGCAGACGCATTGCCCTGGTGCAAGATCCACGGCTTGTTTTTCCACAACTCCGGCCGTTTCTTACCAACTCGTTCTCGCAGCGTTGCCAAAACTTTCAAATAGTAAATTTGGTTCACAGTTTGACCCTCTGGAAACACAGTACATGGATTGTCGCTTAGTTTCAACATCTTATTTGAATATCCAGGTTTCATCGCAAGTGATGATGTTTTCCATTAATTCAGGCTCTTCATGTAACCTCTCACGAAAATCTGAGCAGATCTGTTGACAGACGAGCTTTTGGTCAGTGGTTTCATTTATTTTGGTCACTGTGTGCGGAGTTGAAATAGAGACAGGTCGACCTGGACGTTGGTCATCTTCGGCGCTCTCTCGGCCTTCAGAAAACTGTTTATAGGTACCATTCGAAAACACGCGCACGAGGTAGAGAATTCTCACCATAGGCCTCTTTTAACAAATTATAGCACTCAGTCGGAGTTTTTTTTTTAATTTAACGAGAAATTTCACATTAATCAGTTGCTCATGTTTTCGTCACACATTGTTATCGGCACGAGAAAAAAACCCGTTCATTTCTAACATCTACAGAAAAAATACTACAGCGACAATAACGTGTTTTCGTACTAAAAGAGTAGACACTTCCAGCTATCCAATACTGCATTCGTTTCCCACTCTTCCCCTCTAGGACGCCTTCTGCGCGCGTCTCGTTCTTTAATAGCCAGACCTCGTATACACATTTGATTTTCAAATTCGTTGGTTATATTCTTACACAAGTCCCTAACATTAAGATTATCGACCAAAATTATAAAAATAGCTATAGTTCGCCAAATATAGCTGAAAGTGTGAAAACGCGTGACGACGATCATGATACGCATTCGTCAAACGACGGACCTCGCACTCGCACTGACAGTCCAGACCGTTTGTATGTGCGTTCTCACTTCATTGTTAGCGCAGGCAATGGGAATTTCACACTTTCAGCTATATTTGGTGAATTGTAAGGCGTTTTCATTGAGAAAAAGGAAAAGAACATATTGATTTTCATACAAAAATTGTTAGAAACCACCGATTTTTAAAGAAAGGATGATTTTGGCACCTCCTACATATTTATTTCTTTCGTTTGATGTATTTCTAAAGATTCTTACTATTCTTTGAGGATTGTAGACTTATGAAATTGTTTTTTGCCTTTTTGACATCTTTGATTTCATTAACATTGTTTGAATGACATTTTAATATATCTTTTATAGGTGAAGATGAAATGCAAGAACCAGAAATAATCCAAAATCAAATGGAAAACAATAACGATATGGACGACAACGAACAAGAAGGGGATGACCAAGGCGGAGGAGAAGAACACGAAGAAGAAGAGGAGGATGAACGTGAAGTAGGGGATGGAGATTACGAAGAAACAGGAGGAGACTACGAAGAAGGTGGCGATTGTGAAGAAGATGGAGGAGGGGAGGAAGAATATGAGGAAGAGATGGGAGAACAGCACCAACAAGAGGAATTCACCGAAGATCGTGCAAATACACCAGTGGAAGACGAGATGGCACCTCCTGGTGATTGTGAAGAGCCATTTGAGGAAGCAGAGCAAGGCGATGCACCTGAAGCGGAAGAAGGGGATGCAGAAGAGGCTGATGCAGCCGAATGATATGTTTATATAGACACTTCCAAAAGACTTTTGTGTCGTTGGTAAAAGTAGAGTGCCCAAACTGAGAATTAATTTTAACTAAACTTTATATTTTCTTATTTATTGTAAAATAATTACAATTCTGTTGTCGTGAAATTAATATTCTAGCGAATAAGATTTTTTGGAAACTTATTATGCATTAGTTCAACTATCATGAAAAGTTTTAGAAGTAACTTTATACAACAATAATTCTTTATGTATGAAATTATCACAGCTGCCTGTAATTATATTTTAGGCAGATACAATACTTAATACAATTATTATAAATAGGCGATGACGTCATAACTACAAAATATACAGCACTGCCCGGCAATACCGAAAAAGACGAATAACCTTATCAATCAACTGTCAAATTGATCAAATCAAATTGTTTTTGGTCAAACTGTGATTCGAAGGTTAATAATTTTTTTCTAGACTATTAGATTTTTATATTATCTACCATATTGTAGTCATTAGCAAAAATGTGAATCTAAGCTGATAATTTTTGCTTTGTATCCGCTATTTATTTTGTTTTTCGATTATTTCGACAAGATTAAATAGAAATATACGTTGTTTCTGTTTTTCGAGGTTTTTTTTCCAAAAACCTCCCCTCAGTTTTATATTGGCCAACGATGTAGTATACTCAGGATGGAACCTTTGAATAAATACTAGCATCAAAAGTAGCTAGCTAGTAACAATGGCCGACTCTTGTTTCCGGAATGTCAGGAGTGTACGAAAAAAATTTTTTGGTACATATATATGTACAACAATTATTTATTTTCGTGTGTATAAAAGATATAATGACGTGTAACATTCACGTTAATTACCTGTCAAATTCGCGTCGAACATTGTAGCTAGTAATTTGACGTCAGTTCTGTCGTTAATCAGCTACATGTAAATTTATTCATAGGTTGTTTCATCCTGAGTATATTACATCGTTGATATTGACCGTGTCCTTCTAAATCCGTTGTACGTCATTGAATTTGACGTTGCCGAATTGCCGAGATAGTAAAGAATATGGAGAATTATGAAATATGAAAATATAAGGTCATTATGTATTATTATAAATTCTGTTTCGGATTTCTTAAAGCTCTAGGGATTTACGGAACTAATTGCATCAGAAGTTATAATAAAAATGAGACAAATATAAAATATATCAATATAAGGTTGAATGTTCGAATAAATGAACTTTGATAGTACACAAGGCAAATATCGAACACAGTAATTAATCAAATCTTGCCCAAGTACTTTCGATCACAAGATCATCCTCAGGGGCATCTGAAATAAGCCAAGAAACGTTTTTTTTTTAAAGGAAAATTAATTCACTTGGATAAAAACTCCAAGTTTATAGTTGAAAAAAGTTTTTTATGTGATTAACGTTACTTCGTCAGTTGTGGCCTATCCAGCAGTAACAGAATGTCATAAATGTAAAATATAAAATATTATATGTTTTAAACCAATTTCATATTTCTAAATATACGGGAGCACGGGGCACAATGAAACACACATTTGTTTTTTATTTTTCCTGTTTTTGCATGTAGGTATATGAGTTTGAAATGTGTTTTAAGAGATGCCCTTCGGTGCTAGGAACATACTTATAGTAGCATCAAAAGCCTTATTATTAACTATTTTGAGTAATAATGAATTCAAGTTAAAAAAACATTGTGCCCCACCACTACCACTGGGACACATCGACTTCACATTAGTGAAGTCGATTCCGAAAGAAATAAATTGTTTCTTGTCGTTGGGTGGATCCTGCAAAAACCGGGTTCTCCAAAATCATCTTAATGCTATTCTCAGCGACTATTGATACATCTGGAACTGGTGGCTCTACAAAGATGTTATGTCCTATTTTTCTGAAAAACTTCACTTGGAAATCTTCGCTCGTATTCTTTTCTTTCATAATAAGTCCAACGTAGAACTTACTATTATGGCTGTTTAATTTATATTCCACCAGTACATAATCATTTTTAATGGGTGACGCGTTCAAGTCATTAGTCTCAATATAATTAACTACATCTTCTTCTTCAGATGAAGACGGAACCTTTTCATTTTTTTTTTATTTCTTCCTAGTGTCCTTATTAAAATGTGTTATTTTCCGTTTTACCATTTCTCTTTTTGCTAGTGATTCCGCCGTTTTATTGGCAATTGCAGCCATTTCTGGAGTACTGGTTGCTATTATACTTTTCCTCTTGCTCGACGGTTTCTATTGTTTTTTCCTTTTGAAATCCTCTAAAATCTTCAGGTCTACATAAGGAAATTTTTACATTACTGATGGTAGTAGAAATACTGGGGTCTTGAGACTTATTGAATCTTAAGGAGTTGGCATCTGCATCGATTTCCATTGTTGAGTTGTTGGTTTTTTCAGCAGGAGCATCACCTGACCGTGGATCCTCTTTGTCCTGCCGTTTTATTAGGGTACCATGAAATTGGATATATTTTTTTTATTACTGTCATGTCATAGGCAACTTTCTTGCATTCTTGCATTTTGGAACACATTACATTAAACACTTGTCGGACACTGTAGCGCGGAATATACTTTAAATTTGTATCACACTTATTGTCTTTTTTCTTCTTCACATACCTAGATAATGTTACGTAGTTTACATTTTTTAATTCTGCTGCCCGCCTTATGGAGTGGCCTTTACAAACGAGCCCTACTGCATATTTCATGTCAGTCTCGAGAAAAACCTTTATTGGTTTTTCTCTGACAATTTCGAATCATACTGGAACAAAAAATAAAAATATTATTTTGATTAAATATTAATGGGCACCTTGAAAAATTTCAAAGTGTCCCGTCGAGTTATATTTCATTGTACCCCAAAAGTACATATTTTTTATTTTATGCCAAATTCACAAAAAACAACAATTATAGAAAAGAAAATGCCTTAAAGCAATTCAGTAAATATAAACGTTTCGAATAATGCTACTCAACTAGATAAAATATTGCAGTTTTTACCTTTAAATCAAACGATGTCCGCACCTAACAATTTAGTTTTGTCAAACAAAAACACAATTTCCTCATCCGCGTCCAAAATACAACTGAGATTATAACGAAACAAAGATGACTAGTTCCGGTGTCGACCGAAGCGCCACTGACAGTAACAGGTTCTCATTTACTCGCCAGAATTTGAAATGTTTGAAACAATGTTTCAAGGTGCCCCATGCTCCCCTATATATTTTACTTATCACGCTCTTTTTCGAAATATTTAATTAATCAAGATAAAAGTTCCTTACAACGACTATCAATTTATTTTGGCATGTTGTTGGTTGAAATACAATCAATAATTGAGAAATCACAGTATTTTAGGTTTGTTTTATCACAAAAAACTTTTTGATATTAATAATACATCATATAACAACTATATAAAAAAGAGTGAATTTTTTTAACAAATGGAAGGTGTTTCTATTTTTTCAATGATATTTTAATGTAAATGATTGTTTATTGAGTACTAAACTTCGTACTATTATAAATAAGACATATTAAAAATAATGCTAACATTATAGTTAGCTAATTACTGTGCAATTGGCTCTACTGTAACGATGAAGATATGTTATTCATAGCGTGCAACGGTTTTAAAAGGAAATATTGTGTTTTTCCAGCAATTGCAATTAATTTCTTTTATCAGTCTTCAAAAGTGGATTAAGATATAATGTCTTATAATTTTTTGTACTGTTTTTTCGACAAAACACAAATAAGCGTTTTCTTGTCGTTTTTTTTTATGTACGGTCTCGTTAGAGGGAATTATTTTCAATCTACAACTCGCATCAGCATATAGGTGCAACACAGATGAACTGCCAAGTTATGTTAATGAACTTAGTTGTTCGACACAGCTTATGTGTCATACGTCACAGCTTATTTATAATAATCAGTTATAAGCGCTAAATAGTTGCCGAAATATGCGCACTGAATAAAAATGTTACATATACATTTTGATTGATTCTCATTTTGAGGTATATCTTCATTTAAAGATTGTCATCACTGTAGGCGCAATAATCTAAAGAGATTGATTGATTTTGGTAATATGTAAGTGCTTTAAACAATTGTACATAAGTTTAAAAAAAGTGTAGAGAATGAACTGTCATTGACCATTATATCTTATAGAGAGGGACGCTTTTAGCTGTGATTTTTTTTGGTGAAGTGAACACAGGTGAACGATCGGGACTTTTTTCAAATTTTGTCGACCTATTAGTTTGTACAGTAAATAAATGTTTTATTTATTTATTAAACTGTCTTTGAAGTTAACCAAAAAACTTGCAAAGTGTATCAGTGATGTATTAGATTGTAGAAATTTTGCAAAAATATACGTTAGGTTCATGAGTAGACGAAATTTCGGATTTCTACGTAACCATTGCATCGAACTTTTATAGTGAATAATTGTATAAATGAAGCATGGGTAATTTTGAAAAATATAAACAGTTATTTATTACACCTAATTTGGAGTGTAATAAACACTTTCATGCTCAGATATATACAAGATTTTTTCTATGTTCATACAAAAATATAATATTTGACATGTAGGCATAATTTTCAATGCAAATATCTAGTTCTACTCTTTTCTTCATTGTCATCTTTAAAATATTTGTTTTGTAACAATTAGTATGTTTGTCAACTATACTGTGTCGTAATAAGTATCTTCTATCTTTTTGGTCATTTGAACTACTTCACACTTGGATGTGTTGTAGCAAACGTTATATCTGCTAAAATAATGCAAATGCACAATTTTAGTTACATTACAGGCATATTTTGTAGTTATATCTAGTTTCACTATTTTCTTCATTCTTCTTCTTTAAGTGCCATCTCCACGACGAAGGTTGGCAATCATCATGGCTATTCTGACCTGCGAAGCAGCTGCTCTGAACAATTGCCTTGAGCTGCAAACAAACCACTCTCTCAGGTTCTTCAACCAGGAAACGCGTCTTCTTCCTACGCTTCTCCTACCCTCTGTTTTTCCTTGAATTATGATTCTCAAGATGTTGAATCTTTCGCCTCTCATTACATGTCCGAGATATTGTCATCTTATTTAAAATATTTATTTTGGAATAATATGTTTGTCAACTAATACCTACTGTATCATAATAAGTATCTTCTATCTTTTGGGACATTTGAACTACTTCACACTTGGATGTGTAATATCATGCAAATGCGCAATTTTACTGCTACCTTTTACAGTTTGAAATACATTGTCGGCGTGTTATTTAATACGTAGGTAATCGTTTTGTGTTCAGTAGGTTAGACGATTACAATTATTTTCTATTATTGACAAGAATTGTTGCAAACAATTTCTCATTTGGTTCACTGTACCTAGATACTTGAGTGTTCGCTCTACATCAAAGAATACTATGCCCCATACAATTTTTCTTGTATTTAAATCTTGTTAAAGCAAAATTTTGTTACAATAATAAAATATTTGTGCTAAACATCCAATTATTGCCAGATTTTGGTATGAATATGGAAAAAATATGTATAAGTAGCATAAAAAGTGTAATGTAACATAGATATCCCTTACGTTTCATCCTTTTATAGTGTATATAATGTATTTCTTATTGGATATGGAACAAGTTCCTTATAAAACTATACA